TTTTATTCTACTTATAAGTATTATGGTGATTAAATTATGCATCACTTAAAAATTCAAATGCAATCCTAAACTTACCAGTTTTATAGGGTTACTAACATTATACTGGATATCTTTTTTCTGAAATTTTCTCTTAGTAATCTGAAATTATATTATAATGATTTTTTTTTTTTTTTTTTTGCAAAAGTTGCCATGGAACTTAATTAAAAGATAAATTATGATGTACTAATATTTTTAAACTAATAAATAACTATCAGACCATGATATAAGTGTTAAGGTAGCCAATTTTATGATTCTATTTAACTATCATTAATGACTTTTCCTAGTAGGTTCTATGGTTATAAAAAACCTTCCCTCATACACTGCTGGCTTAATATTCTTAAATTATATTTATTTAGTAATCAAGAAAATCATGTAAAATTATTTGAATTTGGTAAAAAGTTCTTTTGAACATAATATTATTATTTATTATTATTATTTTGTGGATTTATAATATGATAATCAATTATACACTGAAATAATTTTTTAAGTATAGCATATTTATGAGCCATTTATGTCCTAAAAAATTATCTTTAAATTCGCGACTTATTAAATCAGTGCCATAAAATAACTAAACTATATAATTTTATAATTTTATTGCGTGACCGGGTACAACAAAATTAATTTGTGGGTCATATTTTATATGTTGTTTTATAAAAGTCAACATTTCGGACACAGCATAACCATTTCAACACGAGTATTAAATTACCGTATTTCTTGATTTATCGTAAATAAATACCTACATTTGATTTATATTATTTAATTTCGTTGCCAACAAGGTATTTGCACAAACATACATTTGCAATTACATTAATAAACATAAATATTACAATAATAGTCATTAATTTACCAAGTACGGTTGTATCACGAAAGGAAAATGTGAACATTTTTATGTGTCTCATAAAATTCGTTGGACGTATTATCTCAATATAAACAGCACTATAACAGCCCTTATTAGTCTTTTGTAATTTATTGAATATTTAAGGACCAAGATAAATTTAAATTCGAAATCAATTATAGTTTAAATAGAATATTTGATATTTAATTATAATTGACTTCACTAATTCCTTAATATATTTATGATTATAGTTTTTTGAATAGTAAAATACTGGAAATAAAATTAACAATTTTATGATTATAACTTTATATCATAATATTCGATAATTATTTGATATATTATATTATAAGCAAATACCAGGTTATAAGGAAATAAAACTGATTTTTTATTACATTAACAGTATGTACTAGCCCTTTATTATGTGTATGATTAAATTTTTTACTAATTTAAAAAATGTAATTTAAATATTTTGATTAAATCTAGTAAAATTTAAGACAACATTTTTTGAATAGAAAAAATATCTGCATTTTAAGTATTTATTACTTCGTTATTTCATATTGTTATGTATGTATAATTATTATATAAAGTTAGTTTTACTAAAAACATTTTGTTTTTGTTTTGGTGTGTTTTAATTTTATAATGTTTTCTAGTTTTTAGACTGTTTTAACAAAAATTGTGATGTAAGTGTAGATAAAAATTAGTTGTAGTTATATCAATTATTATTCGTAAAATCATGATTTTAAAAAGTTTTAAATATTATTTTTATAAATTTCATTTTAATATAAATAGCATAACACTGCAATATATTTTATGTTTGAAAATAGATGATATCAAAATTAATTTATAAGAGTGTTACATAAAAATAATTAAGTTATCGAAAAAAACGTATATTACACTTTGTTATAATAGTATAGTCTGTGACTGTTACGTAAGAGTTGTAGAATTCTGTTGTAATGAACATAGGTTATGCAATATGATTTTTTACATACATAAAAAAAATAAACTAAATGAAAATAACAAACAATTTATTTTTCTTGATTTTTTTTCTGTTAGAGAAGTTTCATGGTTATTTGTTAGAACTTCTGTTGAAAAAAGTGAAATGAAATTAGATAAAAAAATTCTGATAAATGAAATGATAAAAATGATATCTTAATATAATGTATAGATTCTCTTAATTGAGCAACTTGTATGACTTAAATACCGAGAGGAGAGTTTGCGTAAATTTAATTCGAATTTAATGTAAGAGGGTATGTATAAAGGTGGATATATAATTGTACCACAGTTTTCGTAACAAAACACATGCAAAGGCCATAAAATTATTTGATAAATGTTTGATAGATTTTAGCATGAACATTTACTTAGAAAATTTTAAATCCCTCTTTTGTAGAAGAATAAAGAAAGAGTTTGGTATCCGGGTAAAACTCACAGACTATTTGCCGTTGTGTACGGAGCTTAAAAAAAGCGATGGTAGAAGAAGTTGAGTGAGCATGAGAAACAAAGAGAGAGAGAGAGAAGCATAGATGAATAGATAAATGAAGAATGTGCTGAAGAAATTTAGAGAAGTAAAGAGTGAAAGCGAAGGAGTGAGCGAAAGAGAAAGAGAGAAGAAAAGGTAAAGATAAAACGAACGCCGACCTCTTGAACTCCGATCGACACCCGTCACGCCTCTGTCAGACTATAAGAGTCTGTAGTCGTAAGCCCACTTTAGCATGTACCTTCTAGTGTTGTTTTCCGGTCTCCATGATCCCCGAGTGGCAAGTAAACTTATCTGGAAGGCGAAAAGAGGAATATTTATATAAATCGCAGACTGATGAGTTGAAGAGGATGGAAAAAGAGTGGAGAAATAAAATAAGAGAAAGGAGATGTAGAGAGGAAGAAAAATAATGGAGTAAAAATAAAATAATGTCAAGTTTTAATTGAAAAAGTTTAAATGGCAAGAAATCGTCTCACAATTTCTCAACTCAATAACGAATTCACGTGAATATCTGAAAAAGATATCAATGCATAATTATGTTTCGTTAATTATTTGGACCTAGGTATGTTTTCACAATCATACGGTATATATTCTTTTTAACCGCCTCCATATTATAATGTTGTTATCAGCTGGTAAAATATTTTGCCTTTCGAGGTTTAGTGTATTGTACACGCCCATTTGGAATTTTGAAAATTCCAATATCTACTTCAATACATTTATTATAGCATGTACGATATCCACTAATAAATAATATTGTCTATTGGACTTACTATAAGTTCACAGTTTTTAACAATCATTGATTTATTGGTGGAAGAGCAGATTATTCCCTTCGGTAAGCACTTGATTTTATGTAATTTGCAAATGACACTATAAACTCCTTTCCTCTCGTTATCATGAATTTTCTCGACGAGACCACGTGTATACCTGTATATTATGTAAATTAAATATGACATAAAAATTCTTAGCTCCTCTGGGGTGTTTTTTCTACATTTCGTTTTGTTCACGTTTAATATATAATATTTTTACCGATCGGCACAGTACAATTGAATTTCATATCACGTAATATCTATTTCTCTAATTACTTTCACACGATAATTTATACAAAATGTATTTAGGTTTGTTTTTATGGTTTCAATTACTTTTTGTTAACATGTTTTTTTTTTTATTATTTATCGAAACACTATTTTTTATTGAACATTCTTCTACTGCCGAAAAAATATTGTTATAAATTCGTCTTTTGATTATATTTAATTTGTATTGTTTAATATTATTGTATGACTCTTAGAACAATATTAGTTACTAAACATTTATAAAAATTATAAATAAATAAAATTACACATAACTATTTCTGTTGTATTTTCAAGAAGCTCTACAAACAACACAACTTATATAAACTGGGTTTTAACTAGTAAATAAAATTATTTTGTGGTTGTTATTGCTCAACAATCATTGGTTAATACGAGTATATTCGATTTTAAAATGCAGATTTTTTATAAAAAGTAAAATAAGATTAATCTGTTACATATGATCCTATTCCTTGAGATAAAAGAAACCAATAAACGCAAACATTGGTTTTTATTGAATCGCAAAGTAATAAATTGGTTTCGCAATAAATTTTATTCTCGTGAATTAAATGACAAATTACTATTAATAAAAAGAGTACGTGTATCCTCAAGCGATGTTAAAAAGAAAAATAGATTCAGTGAAAATGAATTTTAAATTATAAGAATTACTTACAATGCAACATAATAATACAACTACAAGTATTTTATATTACTACGCACATTTTTTACTATATAAAAACCAACCCTCTACTCTCTTCCTGTTCGGACATTGCTCCGTTTGTAATAGCTGCCAAGATTTCGGTGACGGTGATTGATGTGCAGATTTTAAAATATCATAAACCGACGAACATCAAACATGTTTTGGATAGGTGACCCTCCGAGGAAACATTTCAATCCAAAGGAATAGAATGAAATGAAATGAAATATATATTTAGCTATAAATATATATGTATGTTTGTGTGTGCGTGTGTGTGTATTATCCGATTTCACTTTTTATACTTCTATATTTACTTTAAAAACGGTAAACTGCAAAAAAAAAAAAAAACAGCAGTGCAAATCTTATTTAAACTTTGTCTTCGCACGCGTACAGGGTGCTACGAATCGTAAAGTTATGTAGTAAGTTCAGTATATCATATCACGAGAATTACGACCATCCGCGAAAGGTATGCCACACACCGCACAAGATAATACTTGTAACGAAAAAGTTCTCGGCGTATCTGAAGTGCTATGGCAATGTGGTGTATAATAGGATTTTGGACAAATTAAATTGTCGCTCGCACTCCAGTGCAGTCAGAACACAGTGTGTTAGTGATTTAAGTATTTAAACCGCAGCGGTACGGAGTGTTATCGAACGTAGTCGAGTGGAGTGGAAAAAAATATACTATAAATATACGAAAAAAAAAATTAAACAAAATAAAAAAACATTGAGAACTTTTGAGCGGTCGCACGTATCGCGCGCGGTAATAAATTGCGTGAGCGGAAAATGGTTTGAATAAATAAATAAAATAAAACGCCCGAAAAAGGGGTAGGGGGAAATGTTTAAAAAAAAATGTTAAAAAATAATAATAATTGATTGTGTGTGTTGCAGGACGCTTACGCGCTGTGGGCGTGCGCGGCAGTATTGCCGCACTGGACGCGGTCGACAGATGAACAGGGACGCCATTACAGGGTGAACGCTTGCCAGTCCGTTTGCCTGGAGGCCGAACAGAAGTGTCCGTGGCTGCTTCCGGTGGCCGATGACGCCAATCCGTACGCTGGCGAAGCCGCGTTCACGTGCATAGGTAAACGAACGACTGCTGCAGCTTTTTTTTTTATTTTTATTTTCCTCCCGTCCATCGTCCTTAATCTTCGTTCACTCGTGACGCCGAGACCTCAATTTTTATATTATCGTTATGACGAATGCCCGTCGCTCGACACGTGCTCGACACCGGTTTAGAATAAGGCACGTTTAAGACGAGTTCCTGCGAATCGTACATCGCAGGAACGATGTATTCGTTACAAATCGATTTCACGATATTCGCTCATTGCATTTACGATTTCCGTCGCTCCGACGAACACGATCTCATCACGGGCTTTCGTAGTACACATACAGACGGTGTTTCACGCCACTCTTGCAATGAGTGTCACCGCGGTCCGCGTGGTTGGTACATGAAATCGACTTCAGTTTTTTACCTCTCCATACTTGTGTTAGCACTAGCTGCTCTCGAAGTACGAAAACCGTCGGCATCGTTCACCGTTACTAATTGCTCCCGCGTGTGCATACGTCAAAAAATAGGGTGTGAGCTAGTGCGCGCGTGACGCCTACTTTCCTGGTATTCACTCGGTCACCGCCACCACCGATCGTTGTTGCTAGGGGTCCCTTACGTGTAAACTCTAAGGATGGAATGACGAATAGGGGTGGTTGGAGGGTGTAGAATAACTGGAGCACTCCGCTTGCACTATCTCGTTCGAACGCTCGCGTGTCTTTTCGTTAGGTTTTCGAATCGTCCCGTTTCAATATCAGAACTACTCGTATATTTCGTGATTTGTATACATTGCGTAACAAGTCGTATTACAGTACTGTAGCCAATTCTGTTACCAAAACGTAAATATATGAATTGATTATTTTATTACTGTTGTCGCAATCGCTTCGGTTTTTTTCTGGTACGATAATTACATTATTTCCGTGGCTATTATGATTCTTACATAACATCCATAACTAACACCATTATCGATACAAGTCTATCTCGGATACGGCCGAACGATCTAGTAGTAGTTTTTAGAGGGGAGGCCCTTTTCATATCGTATGCGTTTCGGAAACGTCGAATACGGGGTTTGAATTTTTCGCCGCTTTGTTTTAACCTATTACGGTTAATTGTTTCCGTAAATGCGTGCACTATAATAACTACTGTTCCCCACATTCATTGTGAAAACTCATACGAACGAAATCAATGTTCCCAATCTTATTTATCACGCACAGAATATAGTAGTTTTAATTATAATAATGATAATAATAATTATGATTATTATTATTATAACTAGACTACAATATAACAGTTTAAAAGCACGCTAAAATATATTATTAACGCATTCGCCCTCTTTCATCGATAACGTAAACGACGATGTATAAGTTCCCTCTACGTTTTCTACCAACCTTTTGAATTGAGTTAATTGTTATTCTCATACCATTGTTATATCTCCCTACTTTTATGGATGTATCATTCAAATGTTAGTAAAACAATCTCTTATCGTCATTTTAAACACTGTTCGCCGAACGTTGTTTAATAATTATGTTTATTATATTAAATTCGAGTTATTGTTCATGCACACAACATTTATTTATTTTTTCTAAAGACATCTACTTGTCTAAATAAATTATTTAACTATCAGTATCCATTTATGACAATGAGAACTTTTTAAAAATATAAACTTTCGACCGAACCTTACCAACGCACATTTGAAGTATATATAACATTAAAAAATTATTATACTTATATTTTATTAATTACCAGATATTAATATATGTAATTTATAATTGTTTAGCCTTAAACTTCATGTCGAAACGACTTCATAGTGATACTCTCTCAGCTTGAAAACCACGAGCCACATCGAACCAATCCCTAAAGTATATTTGTGGGATTGTATTACAGTTATAAGATAACTTATTCAAACTTATTTAAACAATTTTTATTTATTTAAGTTGTTACTTTGAGCTAATTATATAATTCAAATAAAATATGTTCATTTTTTTCTAATACATACTAATAATAATATTTCACATAAATTATGTCTGAAATTCATTAATATGTTTAAATAATTAGCCAACAGAATTTCTTTTTATGCGTTTTATAACTTTATTAATTTAACTGTATAAAGGAGTTTAATACTATTGCAAATAATAATTAATGTAATAAGCAGTTATACAATTTAAACAATTTAAATAATGTACTCTAATCATTAAATAGGTACTATTATAATAAAAATGAGCTTTATTTTTATTTTAATATAGTACCTTTACTTATGAAATTAATATTTAAATTTATATTTAATTTTACACTGAAGTTCAAAGAAATAAAAAAATGTATAAATAATTATTTTACATAAGTAACCATGGAAGTTTATAAATTTTTTTAACTTATAATACAAAAAATTAATTATTACTTTCAAAAATACTATTTTCTAAAAATAACACTTATAAAATTAAAATCATACTGCAGATTACTCACTGTAAGTTAAAATAAAACTATAAAAGGTAACTAATTACAGAGATTCTTTGGGTACTATTTTGATGTAATTTTGGAACAGTAAACTGTATATTTTAAATTAAAATTAAAAAAAATGATCAAAATTGAAAAACCTAACTTCGAATATTAAACCATTACTGCTTTTAAAATGTTCATAAACACTAAATGACTATGGACTTTATAAATATAAAACATGGTAAGTACTTAAATACGTGATAAACCTCATAAATATTTCCTTAAATAATAAAACTTGGCATTTTTGTTTATACGGGATTATAAATTGATGTTGTATATTGATAATATTCAATCTACATTTAAACACTATGTTTGTTTACAACCTCATGAAATATTATTAAATCAACACTTTAAAAATAATTTTATAAAAAATGCATTGTTATCATACGGTATATAACAATATTTGATATGTTATAATTATTACTTTTCGAACTTAATTTATAATCAAATCTTATCTAATATTATAAATATAAATACTGTTTGTATCAACTTTTCACTAGGTAAAAATATTATAAAACATATGTATCTACATTAAAATCAATGTTCTCATAATTATTTCCAAGAATAAAAACAATTTTAAAATTTTCCCAATTTCTAACATATTTTAAAATCCGATGACTTAATGTGACATAGATGAACAATAGATTTTTAAAATATAATCAATATATTATTCTAAAATATATGATTGTATTAAACTATCTACTTATATTACAAACATCATTGATTCTCAAAGATAATTCTTACTAAGTACCTGAATGTTGTTAAACATCTTATTTAACAAAACGATTCGTTTTAATAAACCAAACTCCAAAGTTTTACCGTTACTAAGAAATGTCAAAACGATTCCCTTCATTAAATGTGTAAAGTCTACACGGGTTGTTTTTTCTATTTTTTTTTTTTTTTTTTTTTTTATGAATACAACATTTTATAGGGAAAAAATGTTGTGAACAAAGAAAGAAAAAAGTCTAACAAATACGTGTTTCCAGCTATTCTTTGTTTCGTCCGAATACGGAAGGCTTTTTGTGTCAGGCACGTATTATGCGAAATGCCAACTAAGTCTTTTTTGAAAAAATAGTTGTTCTTGTGAAAACATTGTTGAACGTGTAATAATATAAAAACATCGTTGTTTTCATAAAACGTAGATATTTTTCTTAAAAACCTCTCGGCACGAACACTGAACGATTTTCATAACGAAGTAAAAATCATGTAAGACACATTATTATATCTGATTATTTGCGGCCCCATAATATTTGCTGGGATACGTAGAATGATTGCTGATTATTTAAAATCTTGTTAATTGCTTTGTTTATTTTTTATATTTTAAAAATTGTACAAATATCGATCGATATAACTTCGGTAAACCATCTATCCATATCCCTTCTGTGCGATTTATGGGCGTTAAAACATTTCTTTTGGCCTGTTTTCAAAAATAATACATTTTAATCAAATCTTTAAAAAAATGAATGGGAATGATAGTTACCTATGTAATTTGTTTTCCGGGATCTGTTAATTCGAATAGTTGGTTATATTATAATATTTCGAACTTATTGTAAACGATTTACTTCGTATACGTGCTTCATGTAGTCAAGTTCTGATTGTTAATATAGCATTCTGTGCATCGAACATTTCAACTCTTCTGTCTTTGAGTTATTTTTTCCACGCGTTATACGACCCCGCGAGTATGATCCGCCGAGCACCGATTGTAATGCGTGGATCCTTATCTAAGCACGTGGCTTCTAGTGCCACTTTACCGGGTCCAAGACGCGCAGCGTTTCCGACATTCAACCCCAAACTCCCGCCCACTATTCGTTATTACTGCTGATATCTTTATTTTTAGTCGTTGACATTACTCGCGATTCCTCATAGCGGTCCACGGCTTAAGATCGTGCAGCTCAACGATCTACCTCCGTTCTCAACAATAACATTCGTCTCATGAATCAGCATATACATCGCAACGGAAATACTATATGCATGCGCCTTACATTCGTTGCGCAATATATACGCGTATATTTTTACAAATTATACCGGACAAAACTTGTTTATAAAAATTCGTATATAGAAAGTTTTACGTTTTAATAACTATCGAGGTATTAGTCAGAGAAGAGCATTTTCGATCTAACTTTCGTTCTTTGATCGGGGAGCACAACACGGACTTGCGATGGAGTAGGGTCTACTTTGTCTAATTCTCACGAATTGTTTGTACTTATATACTTATATTTGAGACAAAATATATTTTACTACTCATATATAACTCATTTGTAATTATCGTATCAACAATTTATTTATTTCTTGAAACATCCAAGAATTACGTTGGGAGAATTGATAAGTATTGAATAACGATTTATTATTAATACCTTAGTGAAACTCAGCTGAAAGAAAGGATTAAGACGACTTAACGTTGTCGTTTAGTAACTTTTGGTTGCATGTTACGTGCTATTTTAAGTCATTTAGTCGATCTATTCGGATAATATTCAACGTTGAGCATTTATAAGGAGCGCCCCCCCCTGCGGGAATAATTCCTATGCTCTCCCCCCGTGAAGGGATTATTAATGTCAATATGTGGTGTGTATGTTTTAGTTTTTAACTCGCTTAACTAGCATTTATGTTTATAGTGTGTACGTCTTATCCTGCAGTAGCGGATCCGAGATATTTTTCTGTGGTGGCTGCTAATTTTTTAATAAAACTTTGGTGCAAAAATGTGGTATTAATAACTTAGTGCTCGAATGGTTAGGAAAATCAGTCGTGCAATGCTCAAGGTTCTTCGTCGCTACGCTGTAGAAAAGATCGGTCTTCCATTTATCAATACGCTTATGATGAAAAATGTATTCGATATTTATACGTGTCGCGGTCGAATGGATATGGTGGTTTTAACGAATGTTCGCCGGCGGTTTCGTTTTCCAGGCTGGTCCACAATCCGGAGAGAAGAAATCGTTACCACCCACCAACCAACTCCGTTCGACAACACGGTTTTCCACGCAACTGTTTCGGCCCTACTGCCTACCTCTACCGTACGACACACCAATCACGAACGACCTTAGTTTTAAAAAAAAAAATATTTTTCCTTTACTATCTCAGTTGAGATTACAATATTATACAAACGCATATCCGCTGAATTCACGGGATGGAAAAAATCCTGCCGCCACCTCCTTCCACCACCAAACACTTTTTCCTTCGTCGTGACCGGTGTGTACCGAACGAGCTGTATTTTAATTTTGATTTTTTTTTTTTCCATGTTTTCCGCTCTCGCAGATCCGGACATCGGGTACCAAATGTCATCGACGAACGCCCCGGAGGATTGCTGCTACGAGCACTGCGCCGAGCACCGCCTGTGCGTGCGCAACTCGACGGCCTGCGACCGGGGCGACGGGCGCGCGGACCAGCGGCCGCTGTGCGTGGAAGAGGTACCGCTGACGGTCGAGGAGTCCGAGTGCACGGACTTCGGTCCGACCGGCTCGTCCGCGGCCACCCGTCCGCCCACCGTCACGCCGCCGCTACTGGTGGCGCTGCTGCTGCTGCTGCTGCTGCTGGCCACGTGCGCCGGGACCGCGGCCGCGGCGCCGACGGCGGCCGTCACGTGAACCGCCCGACCATCACCCCGGGACCGCGGTTGCCACGGCGACCGCTGTCGTTAACGTTTGCCGCGGATCGCGACAGAATTATTATTATTACGCCACGCGTTACACCGCACCGGCGATCAATGTTTATCGGAACGCGTTTACGATGCGCCCCGCAGCACCGGTTGCGATTCCTCCTGAAAACCGAAACCAACGGTTTTCGTTGGACGAGAAAAACCACGAAAAAAAAAAAAAAACACACACAATCCACATAATTGTATTGTATTTTATGCGAAACCCGTTGAATACGGAGTGCGCACAATAACCGGCCCGTAACACTAACCCGTCCGCCGGACTCGCGCGCGGTCTTCCGTCGACGACGTACGATTGCGTGATGTGTACAATCGTTTGCCGCGCGTGCCGAAGGAAAACACGACGCTCTTGTCACCCGTACACCGAAAGGGTGTGTGCTTGGAGTCGTCTGGCTGCCGAGCCAATGGAGTTTGATATCTCACCCCTGCACGGCAGGGTCCTCAATTCTCTCGATAAGACTACACACAGATTGTACACCACTACTCTTCTACTGTGCACTATCGCTTCTACCGATTTAATTATTGCTAGTGTTACTTGGACGATGACTTTTCATTACATCTCAATCGCCGAGCCCGTGCTCCCCTTTCCCGTCGAGCCACCGTAATCTATCGGACCGATCAGGCATAACGTAATTTTCGCGCATCCAAACGTAACATAACATTCAACCCGGTAACGTAAAGGATCCAACCTCATCATATTTATAACAACAACAAACGGTAATTCAATTATACCGGAGGTATATTGCTTAATCGTCCGCTATCCCAGTTACTCCTAGAACCGACGTATCCACCTGTCACCCTTGTTGTCTCGTTTCATTAACTGTTCTTCTCCTTCCTTGGTACCAAAAACTTTTTTTTTTTTATATATATTTTCTAACCGCTTCCCATTTCCGAACACTTTGTAACATGACGTTCTGAGCTTGCCACTCAAGAAAATTCTCAAAGTTAGAATTTGGAGGCAACTGTCCCTCGACAGGAATTGCATCAAGTAGTATTTTGTTCCTCCATATGGTTCGCTAATCCGGTTTTTCGCACTGTGTTCGAGTCGTCTCGTCTGTTCATCCTCAATTCATTCGGCGCTCCATTCCTATTGCCACCAGTCTTAAATCTTCAAGTCTCCTGTTTGCCATGCTTCCTTTGTGCCGTTTTTTTGGAGTTCCCTCAATACACACCGATACTACTACTACTTCTCCTCCCACTACTAATATATTATTACTGCTACTAACTACTACTATTGTACACACTACTATTGTAACTAGTTTTGCGCTCTTATCACAGCTGTACTGTTTTGATAAAACGAAAAAATATAACGTTAACTACGTGCAATGTTATAAATGTACAGACACAAATATTATGGATAGTATAACCATTAGAGAGTGGCCACCGGCATCACCGTTTTAGATTGGATTACCCGTTTTCTATATTATCGATCAGTATTTATCATTCTAAGCGTTCGTCAAACACTCGAAAACATAATATATATAATAAACAGATTACAAAATGTGTATAGTGGTTTAACATAAATTTGAAGTCAGCATCCATTTACATAAAGTCTTTGAAGCGAATACGTTTACGCAATTACTGTACGTTATGATTCGAATTTAGTTCGTCCCCGACCATAGGCTTGCACAGACCTGTATTTTAAGGAGTGCCTATAATAATTTTGGGTCCTATCTCAAAAAAAAAAAAAAAAACATGTAGATATATTTAATAAATTATAATGTATAAATAATTAAATAAACAAGATTTTAATTTTTTATTTAATCTTATAGTATATTAGTCCCAATGAATATGTTTTACTTGAATCTCGTATATTTTCTCAGAGCTTCAATTATTTACTATTTATATTTTTTAGTCAGTTGTAGTTATTATATTATCATAATAAGTTTTTCGACGAAAATTTGAAATATTTAATTTAATTTTTTCTCCTACAGAAAATCATATAGGTGTTTTTTACCAAATATTTTAAATCATATTACATTTAATTTGATCAACATCCGTTAAAATACGGGTCTCTTACTCTTAGATTTCAATTTCAAGTCCTCATTTACAACATTCCAGGAAGGGGTTGTCTGCTACCTCTCATGTGCACGTTTAAGCCCTTGACATGAATTATATTAACGTTGTCTTAAACATCGAGCTGATATCAATTTTTGAATGAAAAATTAACCATCAGTATCCATCGATGATAAGTCTAGTGACCACTCTCTGATATATAGTTGGCTGTGTATCACTCACAATCACTGTTTCTCTCTCTCACACATACACTTACACACGAAAAATCTAAGTTCACCTCCATAAGCTCGTTGGCGCCCGAAGGCGGTATTCCACAGACCGGGACCAAAAACGAAATATTAACAATAGTGATAATAATAATAATAATAATAATAATAATAATAATAATAATAATAAT